GATCCAGGACAAACAAAGAAGCTAACTCAATCAAGGAGTTCTTTCAATAGTCGGATCCAGCATGTTTGGATGCTAGAAGACTGCCTTTGGGATGCGAATGGCATCAGTGGGAGGAACAGAACTGAACTGAACCGATGATATCCTAAACCACCTGGATTCACATACAATGATTTCCAAAGGTTGTGTTAAATATTATTTTTCTTTTTTTTTTACAAAATAAAAAATAAATACTTTTTTTTTGTGTTGTATTGATATTCAACCACCCGGCCTTATATACAATAACATACACAAGATTCAAAAGAGTAATTTTTATTGCATACGATCAAATAGTTTGTTACGTTGTTATTCCCGGCAAAATTTCACTAAAAAAGATCTTTTTTTTTAGAAAAAAAAATGCATATGCATTACTCTATTTATTATAAACAATGGGAAAAATATTGGCATAAATTTCAGTTTTACGCAAAATAATTTTTAAAAAAGAGAGAAATACAGACAATTTCTCATAGGAGATTACTATTTTCTCGACGAATTCTTCGTTACTAGGCAAATTCAGAGGTTGTAGGTCGCCCTCTCTATTGGTTTTGTACTTCGAATCTCGCACACTGCGATTGATCGAGTACGCCTGAGATATATTTTTTCAACAGATTTGAAATAATTCCTATGAAATATTATATTTCACAGGTGTCAATACTAGCAACGGAAAATATCATGTCGGCCGTTTTTATGTGTGATAACAGAACCTAAATCGAGGTAAGGCTAGGCCTAGCCTAGCAGTGTTGGATAGGCTAATGTTTTCGGCGCCTACTATGTTTCTTCGTAGACCTATCGCAAAATCAAACATGAAAAATCCATCCGCATTTATTTTTTGTTAGGAACAAATTTCAGTCTTATTTTACATTTTTTTCATGTTAAGGAATGTCTAAATTCAGTTAAATTAGCAATTTCGTATTACATATTATAAATCTTTATAGGCCTAACATAAATAAAAATTAGAAATCTTGCCGGGAATGGGGCTTTAAGCGAATAAATTCGTCATGCACACATGGGTTAACAATTATTAAATTAATACTTATGTTAGAAATTATTAAAATAGATTTTATAATTCTATGCTCAGGTCGCCAGCGTCATACATAGTGTTCATCATGGTAGGCCTATAGCAGCGCCAGCGGGACACAACGCTCTAGCACTTACGTTTAGTAATAAGCCAATTCATGGTTTGATTTCTGTATGCACGTACCAAGGTCAATCGAAATAAAGCTATGTTTTGTGTATGGTGTTAATTATGTCGACCTTTATGTTGACCTTGATGCGAGCATGCGCGGTCCTAACTATAAATTGTCTTATTAACCTTGTTTCATTTAAGTTTCGTTTGGGTAATTCCGACTAATTTGGGTTATATTAATTTCGTCCAATTCAATTGGATCATCATGGGTAACTCCGTTACGTTTGGATAATTCTGATTGTTTTTATTTTCTTTATTTTTTGTCTTGACACTGGGTTTGAGCGCGCACGGAGCCATTGGAGTGTAATATAGGCTATAAATGGAAGACTATAACTATTTTATTCGGATAATTCTTCAGACTACATTAAATGATTCGTTATAAATAAAGTAAATTACGTTTGCTGCAAGCGAGTCCGTAGTAGCCGGGTGCACAGCTACAGGGCATTGGATCTGGTGGACAAATAAAATGCCCTTGACAATTATTACCAGGACATCTCTTGGTACAACTCCGTCCGTATCTGGTGCCAGACGCACACACTGTAGTTGTAACAAACGCAATATATAATTACTTGTAGAAAAACAGAATAGCAAATGAGGTCCGACTGTCTTGATTTTGCATGCTGCACGCAATCAAACGAAAAACAGAGAACTATTCGTCTATAAAAAAAATTCGAAGAGTTAAAAATGCCCGTATGAAGGTCAAACGACATAACAAACATACACACAATATATAGGTTTATGTCAATTTCCCTACGAAATTGGCTCATTGACGAGCGCCCTCTAGTTCGTGGTATTAGTTTTCCAAAATAGGATTCCGTTTCGAGAAAACCACGACAATCGGACCTTTTACATTTGACCCCTAAATTACTGTACGTGTGATAATTGTCGGCTCTAAATATAATAAAGGTTACTTCATTTAAATCAAATAAAGGTTCGAATTTCTTTAGTACATTTAGACATAAGGTAATAAATGTAATAACTTTTGCCCCTAAAATGTAATATAATAAGGTCCTAAGTATAATAACGTGGGCTCATGTTATAGAAATACATTTTATTCTTATGTCTCTTTCTCTGGGTCAATGTATTATCCTATCGCATTGCCGTTTGTATCGGTAATTAATAAAAATTCATAACGCTTATTCATACTATTTCATGTAAATATACGCATATGATGGGCAAGTGGTGCTATTGTATTATAAATTACAGTAGAACCCTTAAATTGTGCTCCATTACTATGACCCCAAAATAAAGGTTAGCGGTAAATTTGTATTTTCCCTCGATGCCTAGCCAATAATGTGTGCCGTTAATAGGGGTGTCCCAAACGAATACTGTCTTACCTGTATGACAGTTTATGCCAATGTAACCGGCTGGACATATGCACAAACCGGTCACGTGATCACATAGACCGCCATTGTGACATGTAGGACATCTCCCTGCACATTCTGGAGGACCGTATCTAGATACAGGGCAACCTGTAACAATGGATGAAAAGAGTCGTTACCAACTACCGTTAGTATGCCTATACAGACTTGAAAAGAGAACTCCTCCTGAAAAATGAACATTTAAATTATTGAATATGGCCCAAATCCCGGGCGTACCGTGATGATCTGGTAGGAAAAGTGAAATAACACAGCTATTTTTTCGAATAAAATGTAACCTTAAGTGGGACAAACACGTAAACTATATGGTTAAAAGAGGTAATAGTAGGCTATATACCCTGCGTACACTTAAACGGCGGGGTGTCTCTCCTGACGACCTGGTGATAGTCTATACAGGTTCTGTTAGACCAGTGTTGGAATATGCGGTACCGGTATGGAATGGAGGGCTTATTATACGCCATATTAATGCTATCGAGCGCATTCAAAAACGTGCCTGTAGAATCATCTTGGGTAAGGGGTATACCACATATGCAAATGCTCTCGCTACATTGCACCTTGATAGACTAAGTCACAGGCGTCGAGACCTTTGCTTTTCCTTTGCTACGTCTATTATAAACCCCTCTTCGAATTTGTTTTCATTATTGCCTGTTAGAGGAAATGTTGTCCATAAATATAATACTCGTTCTGCTAACAAGCTCCGTAACATTGTTTGTAAAACGTCGCGCCACAGGAGCAGTCCTTTACCGTATTTGGTGAATCTTATTAATGACTATGATCTTGAGCGTTGAACTGTGCTCCTTTCACCTTTTGGTGTCTTGTTTCCGTGATGGATTCGAGTTTTTTTTTCATTTATTAACGAATTTTTTTTCACTTTGTAATCATGAAATGTAATTCAACTCTTAATGCGTACGCATTAATGAGCTGCCATATTTTATGAAATTGTTGTTGTTTTGTGGTTTTTGAATAAAGAAATACCGAGAATATATATGTAAGATAAAGTGTCAGGCTGAGACTTTACTCCTCCGTATTAGACATAGATAATAATAATAATAATAATAATAATAATAATAATAATAATAATAATAATAATAATAATAATAATATGATAATGATCATAATCATGATGATGACGCCGACGATGATGATGATAATGACTATGACGTTGATGATGATGATAATGATAAACAATAATAATTTTGGACACGCTTTGACTTAGAGAGTGTTTAGATATCGGACTCAAACACAAACACGTCACATAGGTAATGGACAGCAATGTCGTAACCAGCTGTTGGGAGAGTGCCACACAATTTTCCTAATGGACCCACAAAGAATGGGTCCACGTTTTAAAAAAATGAGTCCAAATTGTCCATTTATGTCATATTTTTGTGTGGAATGGGTCAACTTTTAAGAAAATGGGTCCACAGTATTGTATTTACGCGTAAATTGGGTCCACCCTGATATTGTCCCATACTGTTTAAAACTCCTGGCTACGGCATTGATGGACAACAATGGACCTTACCAATATCTTTAATATAGGGTACATTGGACCACTTATGACTCTTCAAAAAATGCATATGGTAATTAATTCTCCTAAAGGCCAACTCAGACAGCGTCAGCCGACGCAGCCCGACCCGATTTATCGTCGGGGACAGTCTTAAGCCGTCGTGAGAAATATTAAACACGTTGTGGATCTGTGTGAGTTGAACGCAGACGCGATGGTGTGCGTCGGGGGCAGTCGCGTAGTAAAATATTAAACGTGTTTAATATTTCTCACGACGGCTTAAGACTGTCCCCGACGATAAATCGGGTCGGGCTGCGTCGGCCAACGCTGTCTGAGTTGGCCTATAGCCAACATATTTTTTTCAATTTATTTATTTTTTGTTACCTCGTACTTTAACATGCCAGACCATGATTTCACCTGTTCCCTTGCCATAACTTAGTTTATAGATTCCTGAATCCTCCACTCTAGCATTGGTAATATAAACCGAACTATTATGCCAACCATTCATCCAATTACCATTGTGTTGCCAACGCACCTTATCCCGGGAATTTTCGCAACATGTTGGCAAATCCACTGATAGATGGATTTCTTCCCCCATGCTCACAGTAAGACTTCGATCATAAAAAGAATTGCCTGTAATTGCTAATTAAGAAAAAAGTTTAAATACACAAAATAAAAAATGTTTTATAGAGAATAATTCAACGTCAATAAACATTCGATCTCATACAGTGCTGGCGCAGGGGACAGGTATTTCGTAGCAAATGTCCGGCTTACAAACAGCAACCCGTGGTAGCGCAATGCCGTTATTATAATAGCAAGTAAGAGACAATATTTACAGAGAGCAAATTATTTTCACTCACTATACCAGCAAAAAAAGGTCAAAATAGACAATATTGGTTTAAATACGAAGCAACACATGCAGTATTCCATTCTGAGGATTCAGTGAAAAACTCTGGTTTTATGTTTATTGCTCAAAAAGTGTCAAAATACAAATTTGAATGATTTTTTTTTCTAATTTTGAGACTACTGTAGTAGACGTTTTGATACAATTATAAAAAGGTTATACCTTAACCTAAATGGGAATGAATATGTTTAGATGTGACCATTTGGCACATTCAGAAAGTGTCCCGTTTCCTTAATGGGGGTGTAACAATAGAGTTAGCCGTAGTGTCAAACTATAGGCCTACCTGTCGTTTCAAGGAAAAGTATCACCATAAAAGGAGTGTCCCCTACATGGAGGGGTTACTGTAGTTTAGATACAATACCGGTATTACTGTGATTAAAAAATAAGTATATAGTATAAATGAACCTTTACACTAAACCCAGCCACTTTGATATTGGTGGTAAGGTGCTACAAAAACGTACACAAAACACATTTGCTGGTGGGATTGATCAGTTTAATTAACACACCAGATAGGTTCATAAAGCCGCAAATCCTCATCAAATATAAGTATGAAGTGGTTATGAGCGGCGCGGGCAAATTAATTCGTAAATTACATCATAGCCCAGGATCGAATCACCGGATCAGGAGGTTAACATAATCAAAGATAATATTCAATGAAAACCCACAAAACAAATGTAATGATAGTAAGCTCTTACTGTTATGCAAGGCAATTACAGCTGAGGCTTTTGCTTCGTAAAGTTGACCATTTATTGAAGCTTGTACTCGCCCGTAAATACCACTTAACGCTGGGTGTCCATTATCCCCACTTCCAATTGGTAGGCCTATCGTTATTGTGTAAGTTAGTCCATCGTTTGATGTACAGCTTGTATTAAACGGTGTAAAAACGGAGTCATTATAGGACGCGTGACACCCTTTTACTTCTTGAGCAACAGAATCATTTACTCCTTCAAGTGGAGAGGAAACACCAAACCACATCTCGCTGGTGCCTGCATTTATTTGTGGCACATAACTGATTGTGAAGACAATAGGCTGTAGGCGATAATCTGGATGTTCAGTAATTGATATCGTTAAATCTAGAATTTCTGTAGAAAAAAAAATAGCTTTGATTCATTCAAAAGATGGAACGATTATTGTTGAAAAAAAGAAATTTTGAAAAGGACGGAATACATCGGAGAGTTATTTTATGAATAGAAGGATGCTTCGCCATGTTCCTCAGACACATTGGAAAGGCCCAATATTCTAAAGCCTTCGTACGGACTGAAATGAGGAAGATGAAAAGGAACAAGGCAGCTGAACCACATGGAATAGTTATAGAGATGGTGAATGCCTTAGAGGTATAGGGTGTAGAAAAGCAAGCAGAAATCATCAACAAGGTACGATGATGGAGCATATCTGGATTCTTGGAAAAGCCCATCTTCATTGCCCTTCCGAAGAAAACTGGCGCTGTGGACTGTTAACAACATAGACCAATCAGTCTTAAGAGCCATGTTACAAAGATCATCCTGATAATTTTACTACTGCATGATAAGAGCAAAGAGCAGGATAGCACCTGAGATCGGAATAGAGCCGTTTCGTTTTCTGAAAGATGCTGGTAGCAGGAATGCCATGTTTGTATTACGATGCACAACTAAGAGATTTTTTACGTGTTTTACCAATCGCACATCATTCAAATACACTTGGAAACAAAATCACAGAAGATGCCAGAGGTGATATAAATCAAGAGAAGGATCGTATTTGCACAATCAGCATTCTCGAAAACCGAAAAGCGTCTTACAGAATGGCAGAGTAAGTATGTGGACCAAGATACATCTCCGAACTGTTACGTTTACCCTGTGTTAGTGTATGTAAGTAAAGCTTGGTCAATATAATCAGACTTCAGAAAGTGCTTTGGAGATAGTGAGTTATGGTTTTTATGCAAAATGATGAGGATTCCATGGACAGCTAAAATGAGAAATAAAGAGGTGTTAGAAAAAGCTGCACTTATCAAGAAGCTGCGGGATAAGAATAATAATAAGCATAGTATAATGTCGTATTACATTACAATAAACGCCGCGGTGCGTTTGTTGTTGAGAAGGTAAATACGGGGCCGTTTAGTCGAGGGAGGCGTTTATTTATTTATTTTTGGTGTAAAAATGGACACGTATATACACTCAAATAAACGCTCCTTAACTTCACTGCAATGTTGAATTACAACAAATAATTACGATCAAAATTTAAAATGTGTTTGTGTGTGATCATAAAGACTTATTGATCTCAACCAGGTAAGAAAAGAATGTAGTTCTACTGTAGTAGAAATGTGTTGAGAATAATGTTGCTTCCATTAGATTTGTTTACAGTCATTTAGTGGGTGGGTGGATAGGGTGGTTATTCGAGGAAAAATAAATGCCTTGTTAAAGCCATGGTATTAACTAACCATCTTGGAGTATATGGGTCTTATTTATTCTATTAAAAACATTTTAAGAAGGTTCCTCCATTCAGAAGAGAACATTTTTAATCCAATTTTACTTTTTACTTTGAACTACTATTAAGAGATACCAAGGGATCACGAAAGTTTTATAATATGTTTTTGTACTCTCTCACTGATAAGCATCAGAATACATCTGACTTAAATGGGTTAGTAATCTTGATATAAATATTGAGGAGGGAGAATGGAAAACTATGAACAAATTACCGTTTACATGTTCTACTGCATACAGATGGTTTCAGTTCAGATTAGACCAAAGGATTTTGGGCACCAATCTTTTTCTATTCAAAATTGGCAGAGCAGATAATCCTTTATGTACCTTCTGTCATGAACGTGAAGAAACCCTATTACATATTTTTGTTCAATGCAAAGTTATACATAACATATGGATTAAACTAATAGATACCTTAAAAACAAAAATGTAATATATATTTAATTTTAGACCAACGTATGTGTCTTTTTGAAATTTCGAATATAAGTATGACAGGCATCAATACTATCTTGTTAATTTTTAGATTTTGTATTTATCGCGCAAAAATGCAAAAATATATTCCATATTTTGTAACATTTTTAAAAGAAGTTAAAACATATTATAACTATTAAAGATACATTTTTGTTAGCAACAACAACTTCGATAATGTTTTAAGAAAATTGGGTTGCTTTGAAAAACTCTTTTATGACTCTACCTAATTATATTGTTATATGTAGCCAGATTATTGATTAATTATTATTAATTATGAATACAGAAATGTTATCTTTTATTATAATTTATATGATGTTGTTGCATTGAGGAAATAAATAAAAAAAATAAAACAACTTACCATCTTGCGCTGATGTTGATACGACATACAGTAGTAAAAGTACAATATTAAAGTACATCTCGTCGAGCTAACGTATTTAAGCTTTATATTTCGACATTCGCATGAATAGTCTGTTCTCTGCAGGTTTGTAGTGAACAACAGCGTGACATGATGATGGTAGTATGCGTATTCAAAAATTCGAATGTTCAGGCGCGTTTTGTTTTCTACGCCTACGCAGACAGTCATGCATAAATTAATTTTAAACCCAGGCCAGAATTTGACCAATCACAAAAAAGAAAAAGAAAAAACTGTAAGAAGCGCAATTGGGAGTTCCTATTTTTCGTGCAAAAACTTACGCAGCGTCAGTTACGTTAATCGTGCAATCAGTGCAGACAAATAGTATAAATAGAGCTTCCAGTATTACTCTTTGATGTAGACCATAGAGGTAGTATAACAAGCTTAAAGTTGACAATCGAAATAATATATAATCAAAGCTACTGTTGAACCTCGTTTATATATATATATATATATATATATACATACATATATATATATATATATATATATAATTATATATATAAAGTGAAGTTCAACAGTAGCTTTGATTAGACATATTTATTACATTTACTAAACAAACAAACAAACAAAAAATAGCATTTAAAAAAAGATAAGTCTAATAGTGTATATCCCTCTCCATGGGTGCTTGATGCATAGTTTTTCGAGACTGGGCTGCAGATGATGATGATGAAATACCAGTATACTTTAACAGAGTTCAAACAAATCGGTCGGTCTTGATTTCCCAACAATTCAATTCTTTACTCAACATTGGTTTGCCACAGTTCATCTGCTTCATTTATACTTAGCAAGCTTCCGAGATACTTCCTATCATTCATCACCACGATAAATCTTTGCTCATCAAGAGTTTTCCTGGAAAAAAAGGACAAGAGCTATGAAAAAAAAATGTACTGCATGTTTGTTTGTAACATTGTTATTGTAAATTATTATTATTATTATTAATTCTACTTAAATAATTCTAGTATACATCATATTAAGACTTCACTGCTGTACATGAAAAAGAAATTAAATTTTCATAACATTTTATCTTATTTATTTGAATACCCAATCAAAATTATAGAAATACCCAATCAAAATTATAGATTAAATTTTTTTTTTCAAAATTATATATCATAATATATTTTACTAATTAAATAATAACAGGTTATTTTTATTATTACCACTATCCACAACATTCTCATTATGATAATCTATACTATTATAAATAATTAAATTAAAATGTAATTAATGTAAAGAAAATGTATAATTAGACAAAAATATGATAACTCTTAAAAATAAGATTTTAAAAATTTGATAATCTCTACATTTAATTAAATTAAAATAATAACAGATTAAAATTGTCACCACTAAAATAAAACTGGTTGAATGTACACAGTGTATAATGGGATTTTCTTATTTATTTGAATACCCAATCAAAATTATAGAAATACCCAATCAAAATTATAGATTAAATTTTTTTTTTCAAAATTATATATCATAATATATTTTAATAATTAAATAATAACAGGTTATTTTTATTATTACCACTATCCACAACATTCTCATTATGATAATCTATACTATTATAAATAATTAAATTAAAATGTAATTAATGTAAAGAAAATGTATAATTAGACAAAAATATGATAACTCTGAAAAATAAGATTTTAAAAATGTGATAATCTCTACATTTAATTAAATTAAAATAATAACAGATTAAAATTGTCACCACTAATATAAAACTGGTTGAATGTACACAGTGTATAATGGGATTGATAGATGCTGCAAATTTATATAATTTAGGAAGATTAAAATGTTATTTTAGCAGATTTTAAGGAAGCGGTTTGCAATGAATAACTGATATCTGTGTCGTAAATTAGTCGGAATTTTGAAATTCAAATTGGCCGCCATTTATGATCTATCGGTATATCACCATTGGACTGTTTGAAATTGAAAACATAACGTTGACTATAAAATCATCATCATTGACCTGATCTAATGGCACAGTTATGGTTTGTTATTACTGTGAAAATGGCAGCCATTTAAAAAAATTCAAGATGGCCGGCATTAATGACCCTTGAGAATATTACCATTGGACAGGTTTTGTACATAGCAGCCATTTTATTTTAAAATTTCGAAATGGGCGCCAAGACTATCTCAGAGGAAATGGACCCTGCATTGTTTGAATCAGCATACCCAAAATATACAGAAAAAGCAATAAAATCGCTTTGGACAAACCTATCTCGCGAAAGGACACTCTAAAACCTTCAATGTAGGCCCAGCACCGGCTGGTGATGTTGAACGACGTTGGCGGCATTGTGAAAAATCCAACGATACGGCACGGCCATACGAAGGCTAGCCGAAAGTCATTTGAATAGATAATAATATTATACAGTAAAGTAAAATTCCTACTGTACTTTTTTTTTCAATTGTATTTTGTATAAAATAAACAAATAAATTAATGTAAATAGACCATTGTCCTGTACTGTTTATTTGTAAATAGTAAACACATTTACATTGCCAACACAAAAATAATAACACCACTAGCAAAAACACTATCAATAATAACAAAAGGTATAACAATATCAACAATAGCACTAACATTATTAGCAAACAGTAACAATAAAAGAAGGATAAAAAAAAGAATATTACAGTGATTGCAAAAGGCGAATCATTTATATATATATATATATATATATATATATATATATATATATATATCAGGGGCGTAGCGGAGGGGTATTAAGGTATTAGTCTAATACCCTCAGAATTTCAAATGTATTTATGATCTCCCTGTTTCTACAAAATAACGAAAATGCGACATTTAGTATTATTATGCAGATATTAAATTTCAATTGACCTAGTTGGCGTCCCATAGAAAGGGTATTAAGAATGACGTTTCTAATATCTTATTATATATTGTCACTATCAATAGACTCTCTAAACACTAAGCATCTAAACTCTAAGCATCTCTATATAACGCATACATAAAAACAGAACAGCAATAAAATATTGTAATTAAAATAATAATGCCAGTTAACAATTTACAGTGAACAAAATCTATACCTATGTCAAAGTTATTTAATATTGATAAAGGCACATAGTGATTAGCTTAGTAGCAATATGTTTATCACACTGTTGTAAAACAAGACAATGAAATCATGAACAATTAATCTAAAAATCTAGTGGACCCCAATTTTTTTCGCGGAGCCCCTGCGGACCCATGTGATTTGGCGGGATGCCAATCAATTCGAGCGGATGTCACTTCTAGCGGATGTCAGTTCGAGCGGATGCCAGTTCGAGCGAATGCATTTAGTCCGAACTACAACAAGGGCGAATTTAACGTCGCCCTATGTGTGTATTTGTTTGTTTTAAATGCAAAAAATGCCCTGTGCACTAATTTCTGAAATGTTTTTGGTACTTTTTGATAATTATTCCATGTTTGAATTACAGGCTTGGCAAATCCGACTAAAAGATGGCCGCTAGAAAGCACTTAGGCCCTATATTTTTAAAACTATAGAATTTCGCACGTAGAATTCACGGTTTTTGTCTCCAGTTAGTTGAATTATATAGTGTTAATTATAACAGTATTTGTAGATTTACGATTTAGGCCTATATTTGTAAATGGGAGTAACTGTAATTCATTTTTATTCCCCATAGAAATTTAAATTATTTTTACGTAGGCCCTATATGGTATCAAAATGTGCACAAATCATTGGTATTGTAGTGTGACACAGGGGCGGATCCATTGTAGGGGGCACGGGGAGGCACGTGCCCCCCTCGTCTTGGCACTAAATTTTAAAAAATATCAATGCATATTAACGTTATCTACTACTCACTTTTCTATTCTGAAACTGTTGTGCCCACCCTGCCGTTTAAAAAAAATCTGGAATCCTCCAGCCCCTGTGACAAGACTATCAACAGCACAGTAATAGACATCATACCAATTTTCTCCACTATTCAACCATTCGTCTATATAGTTTAAAACCAACTTTTTTTTAAAACTTAGCATGTAGAAAGTATAACCATGACTAAACATTATTTTTAGGTATGTTTAATTTTAAACAATTTTTTTTTCTTTATATAATACTTTAGTTTTACCATATATCAATTATTGTAATATCTCCTGGGCTACTACTATTGACAAATTTCTTTACCTATCCTGAAGTAACAAATATTCATAATATTTTCAAATTGCAAAAACTTTCTTTTTGGACTTGTGCAAGTTCATCCCACATATAACATACAGAATCTTTATTTTACAAATTTAATATTCTTAATGTTTTTGATTTGTATAAGCTGCAAACTTATAACATTATGTATCGTTTTAAAAATAATACACTACCTAAATACACTGTTTCATTATTTCCCAAACAATCAGATATACATAATTATAAAACCAGATTTTCTAAAAGTATTGTTTTGTTTGAAAAATATACATCTCTTTATCGAAAAAATGCAATCTTCTGCAATGGTCCTAAATTGTGGAACTCTTTACCTGTTACGTTAAAAAATATCCCCAATCTTTCTTCCTTTAAAACCAAAATTAAAAAATTTCTGGTCTCAGTATATGGCAGGTAAGCCTCTTGTTAAGCCTCTTGTTATATTATTTGTTATATTATCATCTTACTGTAATTATTGACTTATTTAGACCTTAAACGTAAAAGTGAAATTGGACGATATACTTTTTGTCCTCCTTGGCTCGGTTTAATTTGAGAAAATATAGTACGCGTCTCTACGTCAAAATTTTAGAGTTCAGTGTAGGCTGTGAAAGAATATTCTTAACCTTTTGATTGCAAAGAGTTGTGCAACAAAACCATCAATGATGATGAATTATAGTACTTTTTCAAGGCTTTGATGTGCTAAAGTGAGTGAACAGGATTTGCTTCGCCCCCAGGATCCCCACCCGGAGATTCTGAGCGGCCTCTGGTTCCACTAATTTGTGCTCCTACTTGGTACCGTCGCCACCGCCATCATCCCATTAGGGGCATCGTCGCCCCTACACATCTGTGGGAAATGGCGGCACTACTACATGCTCTTTTGTGATGATTTTAAACAAGGAATAGCACCGTAGATAAGCAAGAACTTCACAAAAATACGAACTAAACGTGTCATCTGAAAGTAAATGGGCCTTGATTCTCATATTATCGGTAAAAGCTTCGGTTGTAAACACAAGTGACATCGCTGTCTCTTATACACATCTAGATGTGTATAAGAGACAGGTTTAAGGGAAAGCATTGTCCAGAGACCGTCCATAGCCCACCCGATGGGGAAAACTTTTTGGTAGTAGATGTCCCCCGTCAACAATTTGAAGGGGCAACTACGCAGTGCAACTGTTGCAGTAAAAAAGAAAACTTTAGCGATTGACAGTGTAGTGATTGTATGGAGACCAAACTGCGATACATCCACGTTTGAAGAATAGTATTGTAACGTTTTTCCACCGAGTCCGTCTTGAAAATATATCAAGAAATGTATTACACGAAAACAACACCTACAAAATGATAGCTATGAACTACAATATGTGACATCAACTATAGTCATGTAAATTTTATTTTATCAAAAACATTTTACATTCATTCATTGTAATTACAACGACCTTTTTCGAACCATTTTCGTCTACTCACCGCAACCCTTCTCGGACCTCTTTGTTTCGAGTCCTCACCTCCCTTCCAATCAAATTTCACCCATAATTATTGACTATAATTCCCCAGACTCGTCCATTTTTATATGGGGGACCATCTTCGTAACAGAATTACAATTACCCCGTACTCTCCTCAATCCCATCCCCCATGTCATTGAATGTGTTCAGTTGATTGTTTCGATAAACTTGTCTCAACAAAATGCATTACCAAGAAACAAATGTTGTACTTTGTTGTATGCGGCATTAGTACAATGATTTCTTGCATATTTGAATGTAACTTTAGCATACAAAAAAATATTACAATAAATGTAAAATAGCAAAATATAAGAGAAATAAAACACTAAGTTAATCTACACAAGTCTACAAGCATGCATTTAAAAACCGACTAATCTTAATTCAAATATCCTGCAAGTTTTATTGTCTTTCCATCTAAGACACAGGCAGCCTCTTCTAATGTTTAGGTTGATATTTTCAACGATCGTTCAATAAATATAGTAACGACAAAGAAACACTATACTAAGCTAAAGGATTGTATTTTTTTTTTTTTTTTTTTTTTGGCATTTTGATTATGTACATCGAACTCTAACTTTTAACCTAGATGTTAAGACTGAAAGTATGTTCTTTAATCAATTAGAATAATTAGCCCGCAAACCGAGGAAAATGGATTTTGCATTTTCACGAACACACAAACTTTCAGTGGGTTTTCAGAAGACGCGCGTGATCGGTTAGGAAAGACATAGTTGGGAAGGTTGCATGTAAAGATAAGATTGATTAACTTACCTGTGCATAGTGGTACCCTTCTTGCCCCTATTTTAATTTCGTTTGTTTTAATGCGCAATTGACATACCTTGTATTAATGGGGCTGTAGACATTTTAAAATCTATCTAATTGATTGTTAAAACATTCTTTGCATCTATCATAGAATAGTTGTGAAAAAGCTAAAAATGACACTTCCGTGATACTGTAGTTTTGTGGCGTTTTAATAATAATAATAATAATAATAATAATGATAGTGTAGTTTTATATAGCGCACATATCCATCTAATGTTGCTCAAGGCGCTTGATGTGTGGACTAGGAACTCGATCAATGACTTTCTTCGCCCCTAAGGGTCCCTTTGTGTCTGTGCTACTCGGTAACCCGGTGCAACCAACACTCATCGTCCACCACTGTGGTGTCTGTTCCAGTACACCGGGGTATCCCCCCACTCGTTTCGAAGGATGTACTGGGTTATTTATACTGCACACGAGCCATTGTATACACTGGGCCTACTTATCCGAGAAGATTTGTTCTACCACCAGAACCACAGGCCAGCGTGCCGTTCGAACCAGAGCCGATATTATGGCTATAGCTTGCGGCGCCCCTGCTAACCGCTCGGCCATTCGACTCGCAAAAGTTTTTGTTCTAGTTTGTTCTGGTAGGCCTACCGTACGTTTTTGCTAAACTCTAGTTTGGTGATAGACACATGACTATCATCTATTTCCCGTCAGATTGATGTTTGTTAACAATTAATACTTTAGCAGTAGTTTTGAATTAACATTATTAGCATAGAGCCTTTATCATGTATTTCTGGCATTTATCATCTTATACCGTAGGTCTGCTGCGATATTTATTGCAAAAAAAATGTGCATTTTTGTCGGTTTGTACAAAACAAAAAGAATATTTAAGATTTAAAAAAAAATCAAACATAAACATACTTTGATTAAACAAACTTATGGTATTGTGGCATTATATACAGTATGATTAAATGCTCAGTTTATTCGCGAAGAGTCAGTGTTACGATGCATCCGTCGCGTGGACGTATGGTGCCTCCTACTGTTGCAACATCGAAGGTTTGTTTCTCCAGGCGTATATTGAAAGTTTCCATCATTCTAGCCATCAATAAACGAGCTTCAATCTTTTATAGGGAAAAGAAGAAAAGGAATGTTCAGCGTCAACGCCATTGAATCTCTAAATTAAACTTACCGATTTATAGACCGACCGACAGTGGCGTATCTGCAGAGGTGCACCCACCTTCCCACCCTCACCAACAAAATCACAACATCCTCTGTCGGCTCTCTCCACTGAAAAGTTTCGAGACCAAGTATTACGTTCAAGTAGTTAAAAATCACCTCCTATCTCATTGCTTTTTGCCAGCTAGAGACCCCTCACGTAATTATCGAGCCCTCTCATTTCACCAGTTTTACCATTAGTTATCCCCCTCCCATCAGCCACCCCACCCCCCACATTTAAAACTCCGCACGCCACTGCCGAACGAAATTTATACATCAATTAAATTATTTAAACAACAGACAACTTACGAGAGCAAATTCTTTTCCAATGCAAGTTCGGAGACCAGCTGAAAACGGAAAGTACTGATAGTTGAAGCTGAAATGTAAAAAAAAAGAAAAAAATGAACAAAAAACTATTTGGATTATATAATGTGTTGTAATTTGCCTAAAGATTTTGAGTTCTACAGTGTTACAGTGAAATTAATTTGTATAACGATTCTACTAATTTTAGTTTATTCCTTTACACAAGGCAATTGAGATTACTTGGCACTTTCGGTACAGCTTGGGTCCGCCCACCTCTCAGGATAAAAATTCAGTGGATCCTTATAAAACCGTTCGAGTTTGGATAGATGCGCATGGGGACACTGTGAAATAAAACAAAGAGGATTTAAGATTATTAAACACTCTCAGACAGTCTATAGACACGTGCAACATTAGTGCTATATCAAAATCGTGACGTCAGACACGTTAAACGAATGCAAGGAACTCAGATTCTACCTGGCTCTTGCATCACCAACATGCCTTTAAATTAAGCTTGAAGCAAAGATTTATGATTATTTAAAAAACGTAATATCTATACCCTATATTGAATTTTGATTTAGAAAAGAAACAATAGTGAGCCAAGAAGGGAGGAAATGAAAAAGCAACATTGGGAATATGTTGTTGTTAAGAGTTAGGGTGAGACATAAGACTTACGGTACCTTTCGCAACAACAGTTGGATGTGTGTGGGCTAACAAAAGTTTATTATATTTATTGCTGTGTACGTGTATGTATATATTGCAATAATATGCATACAATATTTGTATAAATGTGTTTGTGTACATATATAATATGGGTTTGCTGCGTAGCACAGTAAACACAATATAAACAAATAGATAAATAATAATAATAGAGCTCGAATTAGAACAAGATGTTAATCGTATCAAGCATAGCCCTTCAACGGAATGTTACCTTAATCAGTTGTATGGAAAAAAATGTCTGGCGGGATTTGAACCCGCAACCTTTCGCTATCAAGGTGAGTATCATACCCATTCGACCACAGAGACTTGAGTATAAGTTGCAGCAGCGTTTGCAACATCGTATTATGTTTTGAGCACGTGTTAAGTATTTATGTACGAAAAAAAAATTCGAAATCCGGGAAGCAAGGTTTAACGTTATTATAACGTATCATTCGTTTGTGAATGTTATTATTATATATTATTAATAAAAAACCTCGAAGAAACCATCTCGAAAAGAAGCACATGGGCTTTTCAAGATAGCATGGGCTTCTTTTCGGGATAGTACATTAAATACACTGTATATGAATTTCAAAGAAACAAAACACGCTCGGTTTACACAATAGTTTAGAGGCCTCTATGATACAGATTGATGTTTCAGTGGCCATATTTATTGTTTTATAGTAGTATTTCCCAAAATTTACAGCATTCATTTTGAAAAGAAACCACCCTCTTGACATTACAAAAATAGCCTAAAAAATAAGCCCATCTAAAAAAACAAAAAGCCCATCCAAAGTTAAAAAACAAAAAGAAAGAAGTAGCCCATGGCTTCTATTCGAGGTTTAACAGTATTCATCCATATTAGCATAATATATAATTATCAAATATAGACCTATATTAAAATTCTTAATATTTTGGAATTTTTTTCCAATTTTAAACATTTAAAAAATGTTTTAGGCTTTTCTAATCACTCACTTCAAGATTTATTGGTATTTTAACTGTTGTGGTTTGCAGAATGAAAACCTGTAAGCCCTTTTACTTTTTTTTATTTTTCATCAATATTTTTATAGGCGATTTAAGTCTTACGTATTGTCTTTGCCTCTGTGGTGTTTAGTAAATTTTTGTATGTTGAAAATATTTATTCTTTTAATAAAAATAATCAATTTACAAATTGTGAAGATTCGTCCCGAGTCAAATGCTCTCGTGTTGTTAGGTGTCTATTGGTTTCACAAATATAAACCAATATATAGATTTAACAACACCTTAACGGATCTAACCACTGCCGTGGTTCAGCAGATGATAATTGTTTCAGTTTTAAAATCATGCCAGCAGTCATATCAACTCAAGATCACGGAGGCCCTCTACATCTATTGGGGAAAACCTAATTTAAATAAGCAGCTGGCACATTTCAATATTACCTCAACTATTTAGTAGCCTCATTTATTCTGCTTTCCCATTGATCTAAACTGAATCACTGAATCACCTTACCTTTTCATTATCCCTTTGCTCTATATAAGCTTAATGTGCAGTAGTTGTGATTGCACTCGATAATGATGGTTGAGCCATTGAAACATGTCGTGGTGTAAATTGATTATTTTTATTAAATTCATTGCTGCACTTGTATTATTTATTCTTTTATATTATATAACATGAAATTGTTAGCTGGGTTACCTGTATAAATGTTCCTTTTGGACATGTGTAACCATTTAGCGTTACTTCACAGGATGTAATTCTGATGGCACTGTTCACAGGCGGGTGGAGTCGTAGAGCTTCTTTAAAGACCTATACAAGTAATTGTTATAAAAATATTGTTTACTAGGATACGGTGAAACCTCGAATTGAAGCCCAGTGGGTTTAATCTCGAGATGAAGCCCATCTTGAATTGAAGCCCCCTCTTTAGTTTGCAAAATTAGCCTCGAAAAGAAGTCCCTCTCTTTACTTTGCAAAAGTAGTCTAGAAAAGAAACATCTTGTAAAGAAGCCCATCCAAAGTTCGCAAACAAAAAAAAAAAAACAAAAAAAAAAAAAAAGAAGCCAAGGGCCTCAATTCGAGGTTCTACGGTATACGGTATATAATGTTGCTCTCTCGTGGTATATACACACCGCCAGTTTTTAGTTTAACATTTTAAAAGAATGTTTATTTGAGCCTATTTAAATATTGGCTTGCCAAAAAATATAACGTCAGGTCCTAAGATAACCATTTTCAATACGACCATATGAAAATATCAAGTGTAACATTACTAAAATATACACTTCGGATAAAGAAGATACTGAAAACGTTGTTCCCAATACTAACCATTGATAAATATTTGAGTTTTAATAAATCTTGGTATTCAATATTCTCCTTTCTGCCAATTACATTGTCAATTTCATTTTGAACCCTGTAATGTAATTAACGTACAACACGTTACTAAATTATCCTTGATCAAAATGAGTAACTGCTGAAGCAACAGCTGCTGCAGCAGCAGCAAATCTGTTTGTTACAATAGTAAAGCACGACAGCTGCAGCAGAAAAACCGTTAAGGATGCATAGCGATATCCTGTCACGGTTGCAGACGCAGAGCAGCTGCAGTAACATCACCAAATCCGTCCAACGACTGCAGTAGCAAATACATTTGAAAATGATGTACTGTTCACAAATAGGCTTACGTTTTAAATTATCCGATCAATTAAACACAACCAATCACATACTTTGCCTGAACATCCGGGTGTGTTCCGAGCAACAATACAGTGAACGATAGAAGGCCTGCTGTTGTTTCGTTACCTGTAAAGACATGAATAGGAAAAATGACAATGTTTAATTATATTATCGTTTATACAATATATATA